ACACAGTTTTCATGTAAAAGTCCGAGTTAGCATGTTAAAGGTTGTCTTAGAAGAATAGTTAATCCAGCACAAAAATTAGAAACATGAGTCTGAATGGTGAGTGTAGGAGAGCAATCTCAATATCACAGATCTATTGACTTGTTCTCAACCATAAAGAGCTTGATACAAACAAAATGAGTGTAAACGACTACAAAACATCAGACACGACAATCAGTTGATTGAACAGGTAAATCCTAATTTAACCTGCAGTAGTGTCAATGCTATTACGAGGTTAAAAGTTCAGGAACCGAAAACAAGTGGTAGCAAACCAACGACTGCATGTTGGTTATGTGGTGATTGGCATTATGTACGATTCTGCCCATTCAAGAAACATAAATGTCAGATGTGTAACAAACGTGGGCATAAAGAAGGTCATTGTTCTCCAAATCGTACGTCCCAGCCTAAGGAGAAGCATAAACGTCCTCGACACATAAAGTCAGCCGAATCTAAATCACTTTCTCTGGTAGCAGCCTTTCAAACAGACTATGACATTCGGAGAAAGCATGTTACGATCCAGATTAATGGTATAGCGGTTCGTCTTCAAATTGACACAGCATCCGATATTACTCCAGTGTCTAGAGAGACTTATAACTTTCTGGGAAAGCCGCCAATGAAGCCATCCAAGAAAACGGCTAAAAACGTATCTGAAGGTGTACTGAAACTAGTTGGTGAATTACAATGTGAATTTTCCTTCAATGGAAATAGCTGTAAAGGAGTATGCTATCTAACAGAACGACCAAACCATGATCTTCTTGGTCTAGATATGTTAGAAAAACTTGGAATAATGGATGTACCCTTCAACAGCGTTTGTAACGTGTCGTGTCCATCATCAGACACCACTGTACATGCAAAAAAGACAAGTGAAAAGGTTCCAGAAATACGGAGTGTAGTAGCAGCGGCAATTCGAAACACTCCGGTGTCGTCAAGTGAAGTCAGAAAAAACTTTTCAGCATTTTGTCAGCAGAACGGAATCAGGCATATCCGAACACCTCCATCCCATCCGCAATCGAATGGCCAGGTAGAACGTTTTGTTGGTACTTTTAAAAATGCTCTAAAAAAATCAATAGGGGAGGAGGACACCGAAGAGATCTTAGAGAGTTTCTTGTTTATACACCGTTCTACACCGAACCCTCAGACAACAAATGGAGTCTCCCTAGCGGAAGCGTTACTTGGCAGAAAAATACGTACACATTTTGACAGCATTCGTCCGACTCCAGCTCTTAAGCCGCAACGAAACGTGATGATGGAGAAACAGTATAATAGTCATCATGGGGCACAAAAACGATTGTTCAGTGTGGGTCAAAAGGTACTTGCTATGGACTATCGAGAAAAACATCCTACATGGATAACTGATTGGATCGTGCAAAAGAAAGGAAATGTGGTTTACGAGGTGTCCGTTGGTTCAGAAATCTGGGTGCGTCATGCTAACCAACTGAAATCAACCTCGATTTCCAACAACGAAACGCAGCATAGATTACCTTTTGGTGTTCTGCTAGACACCTTTGAGATCAAAACACCTGAAACAGACAGGACAGTCAAGGTGCAAACGAAGGATGATACAACGTCCTTATTACCTAGAAGGTGTACTAACCGAAAGCACAAACCAGTAAAGAGGTTGCAGTTGGACTCTAACACCAGATCCTACGAATCTGCTCAAGGTGGAGGTGTTAGTGGGACATAGATTGGATTAAAGCATGTTCCATGCATGATGGTGTTGATGCGCGCTGATAGGTTAATTTTTAAACCGATCAGCCCGGGCATATTATTGCAGAAATATCTATAAGCTTCTTATGTATATACTTTAAATATATGAACATAATTTAAACTATTGATTTGCTGTTCACTTATTATTATTATTTTGAATACAATTTGATTCCTGTTCAACGTGTTCTGATTTTGGGGTCTTGTCGAGTGTCATTGTGTAAGAATACTAAGCAATAGGAATAGCTGGGTCGTTTATATATAGCAAAAATTACAATTATAACAACACACTTAACACATTTCTTTTAAGAAATGACTAGAGAAGTGTATATTGAAGCTAATATTGTATGCTCCAGTCCACGGCATGCAGTTCATGAATTCGCATTAGTCATTCTTGACTTTGATGATGCTTGATAAACTGTCCAACATTCAGTGACGTCATGTAACTCAACTTGACGATGGACTTCTCCAGGGCTTGAATGCACTTCACAGGTCCTGAAGATGGAAGCTTTTTACTGGTTAACCGAATCGCGAAACACGTGTATACTCATTCACATACGTAACTGACCCCGAAAATTTAAGGCACATTTTTTCACCCGTAGCATGTTTTGTTTCCAGGGGAAAAGGCCAAATCGTAAAAGACTATTCTTTTGTTGACTTCGGTTTAGCCTACTGAGTTACCATTCATTTCAATATAAAGCGTTTCTTGAAGCGATTGAATCTGACCATACTATTAATTATATCTTTAATGTGGTTTTACAAGATAGTAAACATGTTAGACGACAACAGGTTATGGAAGGATTTGTAGATGTGGTCGAGTCGCAATGGACTATGATCACAACTACAGTAAGATGACATGCCAGATATCGACTTGGATCCCTCGGTAGGCCAAAAACCAAAAGGTTGTTAATGGTCCAGATAAGATATGTTTGTTGGCGATCTCTTGGTATCAAAAGAATACCGAGACGTATCAAAGATTACAGCCAAAACAGTAGAGCGTAAGCTCGTTCGTACAGGAAAAATGGACAACGGAAGGAAAAATGTTTTTGGCACAGTTAAGCAAACAAATACAGTAAAACCATCACTGGTACAATTGGTTATAATAATTGTTTCCATTACACCAATCGCGTCATAAAAGTAGGTCACTACAGATTAATCCACACGTAAATAATTAGATTTTTAGTGTATCTATTTTGGACACTAGACGTGCTTTCGAACGGGAAGTTTAATCCTAACGTGATTTACATTTCTCAAACTTTTGCTGTGTTCTTACGCAACAAAAGTACCATTTCCAATCTAAAGAATCTATTCTGAGCTACACGTTCGGTAGATTACTTCTTTTTTTTGTGTTTCACTCAAATTAATAGTTAACTGTGGTTTTGCCTCAGCTCACTATCGGTTTTTTTATAGTTTTCACGTAAAGGCTAGCTTTAGCTTATCGTTAACTGTTTTTATACATTTTTGCCAGTTTTTGTTTACTGTGTGATTTTAACGGTCCTAAATTTACTGCTTGTATTTTTAAGACAGTCTAAATCACTAGCCATGAAAAATTCATGCAAGAGACCTGGTTGCCGTTTTGCCTTTACATCTAGCATGCAATGTGACAACTGTAAAGGTTGGTTCCATGAGGCATGTACAGATCTAACAGCAGCAGCCTATAGCAGACTCAGCAAATCTGATCGTAGATGGGTATGTGTTACCTGCAACACCGATACGGTAGTTATGTTGGGTACTATCATTACTTTACTGACAGGTCTGAGAGATAAGTTGTCTAAGAATTCGGTAAATGATAGCATCATGACGGGTAACAAAGCTAGAACGCATAGGGCAAATAAGAAAAAGGATACTGACAGGTCGGTTATCGACGGTGCTGTTAACAGCACGAGTGATGATGTGCTGAAACTCAACACCATCTTAACATCGACTGTCATCGACTCCCTCAGTAAACTTGGGTCCCCCAGGGAACGGTCCTTGAATGAGACAGTGGTTCCCAGAAATCCTGTAGGTGGATGGACTCACGTTAACAGGAGTAATAAAGCCCAAGCGTCCCCGCCGAAACTGAACGTCCCAAGTATCGAACGGAAATCAATTGATGCTTTGGCCGCACAGTCTACACCTAAGACTGTCCGCCCTGTCATCACTGAGCCCAGGAATCGAAAACGCGTCTCGACATCCAAACAACAAGATACCAAACCTAGACGCCCTGGAAAACCTGGGAAATCAATTGCGGTTCGTGACGACTCTGTCATAATCATGAACCTTATTGACAACCTCGACCTTCCTCTCAATTTGCAGGACAAAAACGATAGGATGCTCTGGGGAGAATTAAACAAGAGGCTTGAACTCCCTAGAATAGAGCTTTTGACCGTCACACGGCTCACTCGAGGGAAGGACTCTAACCACCTAAACCACCCGAGGCTGCTTCGTGTTACACTTAAGAATGCCTCCGACGTAGGGGACGTCCTGCTAGCCAGTCACTTACTGAAGTCCGATGGGAACGTAAGAATACTGCCCGACATACCGTATTTTGAACGAAATCTCATCCGGAACATCCCTAAGGAATCTCGCGAGGCGTTTTTCCGTGGACGAAATATCATTGCGCAAGGTGTGCCGGAAAATATGGACCCAACTCAAGCAAACTCTGATATTCGGGAATGGAAATTCACCAAGCATTCCTTAGAACTCAAGAACATATTGACCCAACAGGTAATGCGACTGGCCAAGAGAGACGGAGACTTTAGGCCCCTTCTCGCCTCAACAGCAAGGTTTCAGAAAGGGCCTCAAATCACTTAACCTTTACCCGTTAGAGTACAGGCGTCTTAGAGGTGATCTTCTTATGACTTATAGTATCCCTAATACTTCTGGTCATCCCCTTAAACAACTTCTTAAGCTTAGTCATAACACTAACCTGAGAGGTAACACCCAGAAATTGGAGACCCTACATAGCAGAACAGACTGCAGACACAACTTCTACTCCGTTAGAGTTGTCAAGTGCTGGAATTCGCTGCCGACTGAGCTAGTCCAAGCGACCTCCCAGGAGTCCTTTAAGAGGAAACTTAACTTATTCTTAAGGACTAAGGATAACATATTATTATGATTTACCAAACTCTTTCTTCCTCTATTATCGTTCATATACCTAGGTTCTTACCTGGAGGTATTGGTGATCCACTGCTACCAGACACGGAAGCCCGTTAAGCGAAAGCTTCTTCTATTCCGTCCTCAACCATTTGGATATTGTTGGACGTGTTCTAGTTCATTTATCTATGGCTACCGAAATTTGCGCACATATAAATCATGTTGGGAATAAGCAACAACGTTGGGTTATCTCACTTAGTTTCACCTTATCAAGCACTTGTGGAAAAAGAGTTTATCGAACGAGTTAGAAATTACTAATTAAAGCCTCATACTAATTTAGGAAAATGTATTGTATTCTTTTGTTTTGGTTGGAAAGATTTCACCACATATAACTAACAACGAAGTTGGAAGTAAGTACTCAAATTAAGACGTGACTCAGTTCGACAGAATTTTATGAGAAGCTCATGTCCAGTTTCACCTCGCCGGATCATATTACAGGTCTCTTGATGGTTTATCCTTATCACGTGATACACATTATTGAGGTATTTCCTTTAATGTTCACACTGAGTAAGTCAGTCAAGTTTTAGAAGTTTGATGGAGGTTTTTCGAGTAATTACCAAGTCTGAAGAAGTTATAAAATCCTACATGAATTGTTATGCTGGAGAGATAATTATCGGTCAGAATGATGCTCAAGACTATCGACATTTCAGTGAGTTTGACAAAGCTACCATCCAAGAAATGTACAAAAAAAGCTCCTTGGCTCCTACGATTCATAATCGTATCTTATGTGCAAACGATAATATCGTCCACCGTATATACCGCACATATGAACTGTTGGTTTTTGATATGGAACCGACAATCATATCAGACTACGATTCAAATGAATCTGATGAGAAAAAGTTACTTGACTTACTATGTCAAGTGAATAGACTAAGCGTGCATCTGGCAGAAGAATCCATGCGGGTAAGTTATATTAAGCAAGTGAACATAAATTTATATTAGCCAATATGATGGATTCTCTCGTCTTTATGACTACATCAAAACCATGCTGAATACTTTGTTTTCCATTAAATTCCTGACAGTAGTAATTCTTAAGCAGTAGATTGTTTCCTGGACAAAATTTCTAATTTTTGATGGACTGTTGCTACTTCAAATTCATACTTCCAGTAACGTTTAACATGATCAAAATGAATATAATGTTATCAGGAAGTCTTAAGATGTTAATAACAGTTTAGAAATTCAATTTTTCTAAAAATCAGGTTATTTTCTGTATCTACATTTAGATAACAAGGGCACTATAACGCGTAACATTTGATGTGCTTCTAACTGGGGACATTTTTAAGAATACAGTTTGGAAGCTTAAAAGAACCAAATGTATGCAGTTAATATCCTCAAATATGTTCTTAAGTGGTACGATGCAATTTAACGAGGAAACCACTCCTAACAAAAGTATATACTTGACTTTAAAAGCAAACTTAGAGCGAGTATTTCCACCTATGGTATTTTAAAGCTCAAAATATAACTGCAGGCAGGTGGTGAGCCTACTTGCATAGGATGTACACACACTTCCAAATTTATTTCACTGGATTATACTCCTTGAATAACATTTTCAAACCGAATCTTTCCGATTACTGCTTATACTCTTACTACCTCTACCACTATAGGATTTGGATTGACAATTGTATCTCTGTGCTAATGTGGTATGGCAACTCGAACTGATGTACGTACGTACGAAGTTCTAAGTTGTGACTGACTGAGATTAAATTCGGAAATGGAACTTGGATTTCTCATCCAATCCTCTGGATGAGGTAATATATGATTTACTACCTCTATAAGTATTGGTGTAAGATTTCTTTATTAATTACTGTAATCTCTCTGATACTTTGCATCGAGGTGTTTATATCTAGAGTTGGTGAAATCTGAGCGACTCCATATATTTGGAGAAGTAAGAATATAGTGATCATGAGGCAAATTAAGCAAGAAAACTGAACAATACACAATCTTGGTTCGACCTGCCTCCTATGCTCCTAAGCAATGACAAGAGTTTGACGACATTAGTCAGCTGAATGACAACGGGAGACAACAAAGTATTAAAAGATAGATTTTTTGGCACCAACTGGATTGTCTTTTATTGTGATTATGTGGAAAGTAAATTGTAATATATTTGTACACAAAATAACAAATTAACACAAATGTAAAGCTACAAGTCCAGCTTATGACCATAGTGCTGCACTAATGGCTTCTCAACTTATGACGGTAATAAACTGGAAATTAATGAACGACCAGACACCAAAACGTTCATCAAATCCTGAGATACGGTTAAATCAAATTAGATAGTTTAACAAACAGAATCCCAAGGGTTCCATCACTTAGAAAAGTCCCTAATAAATGTATGTCACTGAGACCCATGGATTTTTTACATTAAAATTTTTGCCAAGCTTACTGGTGTAAAAAACTGACAACGAACTTGAAGTAAACTTGGTGTCTGTTCAGATAAAAAAGTGAGCTTTTACTTGTGCAATTCAAAATACTGTGTGGTAATCAATTTCTATCTTCTTCCACGTAGGTCATAAACGTAAATAGTTTAATTCATGTGTTGTAACTATTATGCGGTTTGAGGACCAAATACCCATTCATTTATCAATTTTATGAACAGTTCAAAAACAGCACATAGTTAAGAAGTGCTAAAATGTCAGAACTGTTATGGATATACAGGAACCATAATTTTTAGTGATTTAACATTATGCCAAACGGGATCGCTTTCTGAAACGGTTACAACGAAAGATAAGTTATTTGTGCTGCGTTGACTGATCCCTCAACTTCATAACATCAATGAGGCCTTGAAACGATCTATCACAAAACCATAATTACAAATGGAATACTACAACAAACAAGCTTTGTAAGGCAATAACAGTCATCAAAGTACTAGCCGTGTTACATGACAAGGTTACACACTTAAAAGGAAATTTTTGTAAAAAGAAAATATCATTGAAATTTGTTAAGAACATAATTGATTATAGGACTCAGATTTTGGAGGCCACTTATCAACCTATCAAATGAAGGCCTATCGGACTTACATATCACTTTCCATAACAGAAACAAATCTTGCATTATGTTATCTAATTCGGTGGAAACTAATTAATGTATTTTTAGTAGGCTTAGAAACCTGTCAAAAATGAGTGTCTCTAGCCGTTTCTAACAAAGTTTAGCAATGACATTGTCGCGTTTATTTGTATGCAAATTTTTAACTGTTGAAAGCTGTTTTCAAAAGACTTTTATTTTTTTTTTATCACAGGACCAAAAGGAATACGCTCCTGAAACTTTTAAAGTAAGTTTAACAGAAAAAACTAAGAGTCAGATTGTTGGTCATTTCAAGGTACATAACAATGTAAGTATATTGGAAGTAGTAATTTATTTTTGTATTGGTTGTTTGAACGTTCCCACTGATGTTTAGAACTGAAATTGATCAGTCTCTTATTGGCATATGTGCGGATTGCCTTGATATCCCTTTAAGCTATATGCATTATAAGCACAGGTGGATAGTGACTAGCACTGGAGTCAAGGACACGCGTTTCGTCTTATTTGGAACTCGTCAGTTGGGTGCACCTGCATCCTACAGTTGGTGTTCACTCAACGACTCAGTATCCTTTTCTCCAAACGCAATCTAACGAACATCAGCTCTGGGATCCAGATACATCCAACCGACGAGTCCCAAATAGGACGAAACGCGTGTCCTCGATTCCAGTACTAGCCACCATCCACCCCTGCTTATATTAGAAGTAGGAATACAGATAACATGTAACGATTTGGTTTTAATAAGCATACTTAAATAATTTTGTAACTAACCATGAGAGTTTAGTAGATGATGGAATAGCAGCTCATACGTTTTGACTTCGATTAAATATGATAATGAACCATATTTTTAACGTAAGGCAATTAACGGCATGAAGAGTATATTGAGTCCACACAAAACGTATAAAACGGAACTATCAGTATTTTCATAGCGGCAAATCCATTACTTTTTTGTCTGTCTTAATCTTCTGTTAGGTTCACGAATTAAAATATCTATGTAGTATGGATAAATTGTGAGACCATATATGTTTGCTACAGAAGGATGCTAAATAACTCTAACTTTACTTAGCGTCGTAACTTTACACGAACGAAATGCTCTTGATTTCTACTTACTTTCGAGATGACAAAACTTCATTATAATGTTTGTTTGCACTCGGATTACTGAAGACTAAGAAGTTCGTCGGTTGTGACCTATCTGCCAAGTACTCGTTTGTGTATTCGAATGTGTTCTATACTGTTTTTGTGCGCTGTTGCTATCCAATTATTTAAAATGAATTAAGTGGGTTTGAACTCGAACCTGCCACTTACTCGTGGGGAACTCAGTGGTTCAATCACTAAGCTATAGTTTCACCTGAATTGAAGAAGTCATTAAAGACACGACCCCACACTGGTATTTTAAAATACTTGAACTTAACTATGTAGGAACGTTTTCTGTTGATGATTTCAGAGACGTTGGTAAAGATAAATGGGTGTAGATTAGCCTTTACAAAAAGAAAAATAAGATATATTTTTTATACGAAGTACCACAAATATAAACCAAACAAAAATTAATTGGAGTAAAACTAGCGGAGTGATGGGACTGTATTTTTGTTTACGTTTAGAGTAAACGTATGTAGTCACAAGAGAGGTACATTATCTTTTGAAATTTGTCATTTAAACTAAATCAAACACTTAACTCTTGATTATATGATTAATGTGAATGTTATCATTGTTCATAACATTCTCGATTCCTAAAAGAATAAAATACGTAGTTTTTACATTTTCAGCGGAAGTTAACTGGAATATTGAATAATATTCGCCAAGTACGCCCAGAGCTGATTCCACAGCAAGGTAAGTTGTTTATTGTGAAACAATAATTTATGTGCAAATGTCACATACCTAGGTTAGTACTCTGTTCATCACTGGAGTATGAAAATCACCCCAAAAGTGTGTACAAATATACATATTGGTATGCGATTCGATTAATAACCATGTAAATACTATTTTTTACACAATTGTACTGTTTTGAACGGGAACACAAGTGGGGACAGTGTATTTGAACACAAAATTACAGAACATTTTAGTAAAATCTGAGAACCATACAGTGATTACTTAATTTGCAAAATGTTAATCAGTTGTCTCAAACTTGACTGTTCCTTCTGCAAATATCAGTCAATCGTCTCAGACTTCAATGTTCCTGCATCTCCATATCAATTGCTTTCTGTTCCGGTTTTTTTCCTCCTCGATCTATTTCTGAATAGCGTTATATACTACTTATGTCAATGTAAGTAGCCCACACCACAGTGCTTGCAGTTATGTCTCACAATAAGCATGTCACATCTTATGGATTATACTGTTCAAACAAACTTTGGTGAATCAGATCAAGGCTAGTTTCGCCAGAGCTTCAAGTGTGCTGTGCGATAAAAGGACAAACACCTAATCATGCACGGTCACATTTTCCCCCTCAAAGACGTAAAATTAACATATTAAGAACCATTCATTCATTACAAATGTATTGTAAAAAGCCGTATAAGCGTAACCATATAAACTAATTCAAACTTTTAAACGCTGTGCATAGAGTTGCAACAAGCACCTGATATCACTGTGAGTTAGGAGTTTAGTATTGGATCAGTGGAAGACGTTTAATGAATACCATCAATTCGCGCATGAAAGGAAGTCATTTACAGCTTTTAGGAGTAGTGGAAGTTACAGAAGTATGGAATTCTTGAGAGTACGGGAGCTGACAACTGACTTAATTCCTTTCTAGGAAACCTTATCAGTATGTTCAGTTATTTTCTTCTGGTTAATTTTTATATGATAACATGCAAAACTTTGTCGATGCGATTATAAGGACCACTTTACCGACCAAATCAATATTATGTATTTAATTCATGATACTATAATTTCTTGTTAGGAAATTAAGCGATAGTTTTCAATTTCCCATCTCTTAAATATTTGTGGTTACTTAAAACCGTAAAAAGATTTTAATGAGGGAATAATATATTTAGTTGCAGTTGGATATTTTGCGGACATATCTTCTTACGAAGGAATAATACCATTAAAAGAATACATGAAACTCTATGACATTCCATATGAAACCTCATCACAATCCGGTAAGTGTAAATTTTAATGTTATGCTGTAGGAAGTGTGATTTTATGATAGTCAATCCTGTAAAAAATTGGCCAGTTTACAATTACTGGCATCAATTCAAATGACAATCTCACCATTCTTATTTTGAGACAATGTTAATGAGAAATGCTTTATTTTCGTGATTGCACTTAACATTCATTTCTCTTGCAACGTTATCGTATGTGACAATTACCTCAAATTTATTCGAAACAATTTTTCCATCTGTCAGAAGTAATTTTCTTAGCTAGACACATAAAAGCCTAATTCTATACACCTCGTGTACAGGGTATACGTTTATTAGGAATTCAAGTAAAAACATCTGCAGATAAACAGGAACCGACTTCTCAGAAAAGCGATTCTGTTTATAACCATCAAGGTTTCCCATTTAGTGCTTATCTTGTGAGACATTAGATTTAGTAATGAAAGTGTAGTCGCTTACACTAACACATCTCGTTTTTTTGTGTTTAATAAAAGATTTGGAAGTATTTGTCAATTGTAATAAGACTTTACGGAAGTAGAACTATATAAAAAACGGTGCGGATAGACGGAAGCACACATCACCAAGAAAAAAAATGAAGCAAAACTTTACAAAAATATCGGTCAGTCATTCTTATTCCCAAAAGGTTCAGAAGATAATTTTTAAGTAGGGGAGTAGTAAAATAAGATGAAATATACTTTACGATAAGACTATTTCAAGATAATATACGTCAAAGGTCATAGATATTAGGCACATTTTAAGGGATTATTCAAGACATTAGAGGCTTTTCATTCGGCCATCAATGAAACAGCATTGACAGTATGTGACTGAATGAAATATTACAAAAGGAAACCATCCTACTTCAAAGTTTCCAAACTCAGCAGGTAATTTTATATAGGCAATGCTCGTTAGTATACAATTATAAAAGTTGACGTGTTTCTCTTTCGTTTCAGAGCTTACATGGCCGATCGAGAGAAATTCCTTTATTTACAAATAAGAATTCTTAAAACAATACCTTTGTATCATTTAGATAGATTAGACCTTTTGATAGCTTTACGCCAAAAATTCTGGTTACCATCTGAAAAATCACACTACTTATAAAAGAAAAGGTAATATTTATGTAAGCCCACTAAGTAGAAAGATAACAATATATTGGAAAATGAATCCGTTCTAAATAATGTTGTACTAATCTTTCTATTACTAATGAATTATTTCAGTGTTAAACTAGTTCTTTCTATTACCTTTGATTGTAGGTTTAAGAGAATGTGTCTAATCTAACCAATAAAAAACTCCCATAACTTTAAGGGTATACAAGCTAAAGCTGGAGCTTATAGTGTGAGCCATATTTTCATTGAGATTATGAACCGGTCAATGTTAGACCACCACCGGAAGCCTGGGGGGTTCGTTTCGTCCTAGCATGAGACACATCAGCAGTGCGCATCCACGATCCCGCACGTGGGATTAGGACCCGGGACTTTTGATCTCACGCGCGAACGCTTAAACTCTAGACCAACGAGCCGGCATCCAACAGTGTTAATGTCTAACTTTAATCGGTCCATGATCTTGTGCGATCATACTAGGACGAAACGGCAGTCCAGTACTTCAATGATGGTCTGACATTGATCGACCCATCATCTCAATTAAAATCAAACAATCGCCAAAACTCTAGTCATATTGAACCCAACCAATGTTAATCAAATCTTTCGGTATCGTAAACATTTGGAAATTCGAACTTTCATCAACAAAAATAGCATCCTTCTAGTTGTTGATTCGAAAGGAGTTTGAAAACAACGACTGTTCGTAGCAAGTTCTTAAAGAGGGCACAAAATACAACATTACAAATGAGAAAATTTTTTGTTTTAGTGTAATCCTTGTCTAAATAGCTCAAGAAATGCTTAAACTTTTAACAGTTCATGGTAAAATTCTGAAAATAAGATTGTTATTACAAAAAATCACAAGACACTATCTTGTGTTCGATGCATTCCTGGACTGCTGATTACTCATAAATTGGTACAAAAGTATTACCGGGTACTGGTTGATTTCTAACTTTCCTCTAAATAATCCCAATCCAAAACGGAATCTATCTTCATACGAGTCACACCAACAATAATCAGTTTTTTTATTTAAGAACCCGATTGTCGCCAAATCTTCATAGCTTTACAAGAGGAAAAGATCCGGTATGACAATTCACATTGTAGTCCTAGTAACCAAGTGAACGATTGAAGGCTACTATACATACCTTCAGTCAAGGAATATTTAAAGACCATCATACAATCACATTGAATAGCAGCAAGACGGCTATATTTAAACTATCATACTTGGTAAGTCCGTGAACGAAACTATCTGGGTCAGAAGTTGTAGTTCAGTTTGAAGCATGATTTCGTGATTAAAAATCCCAGAACCTGTACTTTGTGTTAGCAGTACCCAATAATGGTGTTTAACGATTAGATTTTCTGATTGTCATGATCTAAAAGTGCTGCAATCCTCCTCAAATTATTTGACGGGAATGGTTAGGGTTAGTTCATTAACTGGAAACAGGTAATTTCTCACCACCGTTTCACATGTGTTTATAATGTCTGATCTTATTCAAGGTAGATATTACCGGTGCGACGGTTAGCTATCATACGTAATAAACAGTAAGTCTAGTTTCACAATAAAAAAGGAAGATCTAAAACCGTAAGATCAAAGGAAGAAAGTGAGTCATAATGAACCAAACTGTACAATAATATTTGTTACGATTCACATGATCTGCGAAACCCATAACATCGCTTTCACATTTAAGCATCTATCCCCCAATATTGACAATGCTTATGCTGTGAACTATCGCCCATTAAATATTTTGAATTACGTCCAGTTTCTTAAGGACCTTCAGGACAGTAATAATTCATTAGTAAGTGCCTAGCAGTGACATTTGTATACGTAGAAGATGAGTAGTTCCTCTGATACACTCCATAGAACTTGCACGTAGATAGCCAATATTTATGGCTAACAAAACATCATTCTTATAGGACTAAGAGAAACGTAGAACATCACAAAATATCCTGTACAATTTATATTGCTCTGCATACGAACATTCTTTATTAGACATCAAGATTATCACTGGAGGACATATCTTACCCTTTAACTAATGATATATGCTACTGCATTTTTTATAAATAGACTCGAAATTCAATACACTTAATAACATTCGTAAATCTATCATCTCTGAAAAAATAGCACGATTAGGAAAAACGTCAACTGAATAAATGTATTTCAAAGTGACTACCACAATATTCTGAACGACTTGTGTGTAACCCAGAAAATATTTAGAAGGATAAACGAATGTTACGAATAATTAATTTAAATGTTGAGGGCAGAGAAGTACCATAAACACTGACCACGATATATTTAGATAAAATATTATTCTACTTAATAAGCCTAACTTCAATAAAGTTCCTAGATTCGATCATTGGTAGGATTGTAGACGCGCACTCCAGTGATACACTAGGACGAAACATTACTCATATCGATATATATTATAAAAGTGTCAATAATAAGGCCAAATATATCAATATTAATTCGTAAATTTCTTTGTTTATGTTCCTCCCATCCACAGATAATAATTCCATCACTAATAAAAGACATTTCAAGACAAAAATCACCCGAGAAAATATTATATACTTGGTGTTTACAAACAAAAACTAAGATCTACAAAACTTCAATTTAGATCATCAACTAAATAAAACGGCTTTGACAGTTAACCAGGGTTAGCTAACATATTATCTCTGGAGAGATGAATAAAACATAAAAAAACAAAAGCTTCAAGAATAGATAACCGGAAAAAAAGGAATGTCCTAACCCTTGATTGTGACCGAAAACGAAGAGAAGTTTGGCGACTAAATCAGAATATTAACTGAAAGGACCACAAACTGACCGGAAGCATTAAAAATCTGGAAGCAGCTAACCAAATCGATCCTGAAAAAAATGCACCCAAATGTGAATATACAAATTTTAAGCGATGATAAAACATGTGCTTGTATGAGAGAAACGATAAAAACAAACACTCGGCATCAATTGGGAAGCAATGGTTTGGTAATCTGACTGAAAGTGGATTACTGCTTCAAAAAGTGCTTCACCTACCAAAAATAGAATGACCAATGAAAGGGACTTTTACGTCAAACTACGAAGTCAGAAGCTAACCGGGAGAAATAACAGCTAACTCGCTCTCAAAACGGGTGGATATCGACTTGAACGATTGCATCACAGACAGTAGCCAACATTGAAATATTTGTTTGGCTGGCATCCTTTTAAGTGCTAGACAATTTCATGAAATGACCAAGAAAGTAAAGTACTAGCACACTTCTACTTTCGAAATCCATGGTAATTTGAGGGCTGTTAGTGAGCGACGTAACAACTATGTCTTACTGTATAGTTTACCTTGTCAGGCTGTTACTTCGATTACTATTCAATTTAATCACCAAACTTTGACCACTTATTTGTAAGCCTTTCGGACTATTATCATTTCGTTGGTTAGACTTCTCGAAAAGTTTACAATGAAATCATATGACAATGTCTCTTATCGCTAAAATAATTTAGTACGTACTGGCTAACTAAAACCATTGTCACTAATAATTCTTGCTTTATTGATTTAGGTTGCCTGTTTTTTTTTGAAATGTCAATTTTAGTAAACATGTCGCATTTTGGTCTCAATTCGATAAATATTTGCACGTATCAGTTCACTACTTTTTACAACAGTTCTGGATGTGATTTAAAGCGACGAGCCTGAATAATCATATAGTATCATTAGTCCTTAGGCAACAAATATAGAGCCAACAGGAGAGTACAAACAACTGTTACTGAGATTAATAACTCGTGTAGATAGTACTTCCTGGGGGAAACAATTCAAAAGTATCCGTATTTTTATTGATTTTACTTACTGAATAGACATATTTCAATGAAAATACAAATATTTGTAGGCGTATTTCTTTATCAGTAAACTATGTGTTGAATAAATAAACAGACTGATATATAATATGTAAAATTATTGCATTCTTTAGCAGTAGAACAGAACTAGTAACTTTCATTAAACATCTCAGTAAAATTACCATCGAACAACCAAACAGTTCGTTTAAAACTATAAGACGGAAAGGATCACTAATTAGCGATCAACTATTCTGATCAAGTTACTTGTAACGGCGAGTAATACTAAGAAACAATTGGAAAGTATTTTACATGGTCCAGTCTTAGCGTATAATTTTTGCCATCAAAATAGTTGGTGAACAATGTGTTTAGTATTTTGAAGAGCACTCAATTGATCGTACTTCTCAAAAATTGGTCAAAACACATCTCATACTCAGTATTTATTTAGTGAACTTACTTGAAGAGTGTGTACTACGTCAGTTGCCAGATTTGACAACCGTCCAGCAACTTTAGTTACACTTTGTTTGACGCCATCTTTGATATTTTGTAATTCATTAGATACTTGAGATTGTCGCACTTTAGGACGACCAAAATAATCATCACTCGAAATGGATGAACTCCCTTGAAATCTTGAGAGCCCATCAGATTCAGACTAGTATAAGTGAAAAAAGTGGATAAACAGATATTGCACATATATAGAATCTTTGAAGGATAGAAAAACAAACATAAAAACTGATTAATTCAATTGTTACCTTTCAAAGAATATTGTTTTTACATGATGATAACTAAATTACAACGAATTGAACTTCTTAAAAACACATGAGCAGAACGAAAAATAGATATTTTATTAGTTCTCTAGAGATAATGATGTTAGCGAGGTGTCTATTAAGAATAAGCGAGGTAATTTGATCTATATAGACAATTGTTAATATAACTTTCATATCATTTGCATCAATTTTAAATATCGGTGTTGCTCTTGTTTGTCATGATGCTACAGCAGTTTATATAAACTGGAATACGTGTTCCTTTTCGATTGTATCCATATTTTGTATACGGAAGGCATAATTCGACTTTGCTAATCGAGAGATTTTTCATAGTATCTCTCACCGTAATATGTAAAAAAGAAATAGGTCAACTTACTGAGGGCTTTTTACTGGAAAATATTTGGTCGGATCAAACCTTACGGAGAACTGACTTCTAAACTAGCTACAACAGATGGTATAAAAATAAGGTAACACGACTGAGATGGTTGAGTCATTAGCTGCACATCCTAGATTGATACCATTCAATTTCTCACAGCATTGACTCATATTTATCTAAGTGTTAAAATTTTGAATATAACCAAGCTATTTTACCAAAGAAAAAGCTCAGTTTGCTGGGGAACTATTTCATCTTCTGCTATTTGTTGTTCGGGATGCTTGTGTCAATAATTTTATCTCATACATAGCTATTACTCAGCCATATCGTATCGCCACATTTCACTTATTGATTAACATTCATTTATATTACCGATCCAAAACACGTCCACATTGTAAATCAAAACGTCTAATCTACAACAAGAGGTATTTGGTTCTAGATCAATTGTTCTAATTTTCATCATTGATCAGTCCAAATTAGTTGGACAAAATAGTGGTTAGAAAATAATAAATGAAAGGCGACGTTATAATATTCATATGTTAAAGTTTATCCACAGCCCCGGAGCCAGTTAATAGAAAATTTTCTGGCTTTACGTAGAGAATGGCCATTTGTGAGTTCTGAACATTCGAGTTAACAGCACAAAAAATTTGGTTGTTCATATCGTTGTAAATCAACACATGTGATAACCACTGAGTCTGAGGAAAAAGGAGGTGAAATCAGTAATGTATATCAAGTGAGCAATGAAACAATCGAAAAGGAGTATCTTGAATATCAATATTCATAGTGGAAATGAAATCAGTAAACGTGATAAACATATCAAGAACCAACCGAAGATATAGAATGAAAACTATTGAGTTCTGATAAGACAGTTAAAGATGAATATGTACGGAAAATTCGGAGTGAATTTTAAAAAACGTTTGAGAGAAATGTGAGGAAATGAGTCAATTACTGAATATTTCTGCATTCCGTCAGTCATTTCAGGTGTTTTTATCTAGTAATAGAAAGAATTTCCAGAACAATTTCGTAGTTCAGACGGGTCTTTGACATAAAAACACACTTATCTCAAGTCTGTAGACGATGTCCAGCTAAATTAAATATACATCATCCAAAAAAGTATAGGGATAAATAATAATGTAGCCTTTCATGATTATATAAATGGCTTCTTCAAACTGCCGATTTCTGCGAGGAACGTAGGCACGGAATGAATTTTCAAGGATTGTTAGATATAGGCTATAGCAGTAATATGATGTGAACTTAAAAACCACAGATAAACATATTAGTTTATTTAGGCTTACATCATTTCGGTCAAAAAACGCATCCGATGATATAGAAGTCGCGTTGGCAAACTTCTTCATTAGTTCACTTAGATCTGGATTAGTTTCTGATTGTGTAGACGAGAGAGATGTAGGCTGTTTGCCGGGTGATTTAGTTGGAAGTTCATCAGCGACAGTAGACAAATCACGTGTTCTGCTTGGTTTTTGATTAAAAGGATTTGAAAAATGTTCATCCCAGTCATTGTCTCTTGATTTATTTTTTGACCATCCGCCATTCATACCATAAGTCGCAGAGCCTCCTTTAGCAAGTAAATAACACGGCAATGCATGAGGACAATCACATATTAACACCCTTTAATGGAAAGAGCGACTTAAATAATAAGAATGTGAAGGTAACAATTTGCTTATCGCAAAAAATGCACTACAATAAGAACCACTAGCTATAAGTTGGTTTGATGGACACCATAATAATGGTAAATGCAAATAATTTAGGAAGTATATATCGTTACAACCTCAGCTACTTTTATCTGCGTATTAAATGACGCTAAAACTGTATAAAACTATTAAATACTTTTTTTAGTTGGTCACCATTACTAAACTCCTGATATTTATCACAGAATAGTAAAAAACCTACTGGCAAAAACAAAACTGTTACAAACCGAATAAATTATCGTCTCCAGAATCAAAAAAATTGCGTGTATCACGGTCTCTATTACTGTAACTCGAAGTGAAAAAAGGGTCCAAATTTGAACTTAGCGATGAAGTGTGGGTGGGAGCCGAGTTTTCTTGCTCTATTTTTTGAACATTTGCAAATGCTGAGTGCGATATTTCTCTATAAAAAAACGGATATATAGATTAGTGGATATTCCTTTAAGTGAAGGGATTAAGTTGTTTTTTTAATAAATTAAGAAGTATTTTGATTATCACACACCAATGTAGAGTTGCGACATTGACGGAAACTACTTTACAATCAATAAAATGATCAAATACAACCATAGCATAAGTGTTGTAAAGTAGTTTAGAGACAAGAAAAGTAAACAATGGGTGCCGATTTCAAAATTACCTAACCTGACTTTTCTTAAATAGAATGATATTGTACATTTAAACACAAAGAAAATTTGTTTAAAACTGGTAATATTTTTCACGAAAATAACTGTTTAGCTCAAGAGTAGTAGATTTTTGAATCTAGGTTTACATCGCGTACATATGATTGTTGTATTAGATCACCTTTGTAGTAAAAGTACGATTATGTGTATAAATACAAGTGCTAGTGCTAGTTTTCTATTTTAGTTGTTAGATTGTTTCAGCACAATTGGCTTCTTTTAATTAATATGAGATACGTCCTACATGTACAGGAGACAGAATGTTGTATTGCTGTAAATTGATGTCTAATCGATTTCCGATTTTTCACTGAATCTACTTAATTGAAATTGTATGATAAGTAAAAGGAACGAGTATGCTGAAACATAAAATCAATAATTTTAGGTGACTTCGGGCAAAGAATCTTGGCGAGTCGGTTGTATCATATTACTGAGGTATACATAAAAATAAACACGCATTTGCTTTACCGAAGAAAGTCCATTGTTGAATCAACTACTCAGTTATTGAGATTTTAAGCATGAATGATTAGCTTACATGACTGACTGATTGTCAGCAACTATGCGCGGATCATTAAGAAAATGGTTACTGAATCATGTACAATATAGTCTTTAGCAAAGCTTAAACAGTCATATATTCAATACATCTCTAAAGTTTTCTTGATATGAACAGCATTATACACATTCATCTCATATCTTTTTAGGTCATCAATAAAAGATAAGCTTGTATATATATAATATTAATTTGTTTTAGGGCTTTTATTTGCATTATACTACGAATGAATGTAACACAGCATGTAGCTCTTCTGGAGTCACTGCCGGTCTTAAGCTTGGGCAAAGAAGGACGGTTGGGCATGGGGTCGACAACCCCATCCCGTAGAAAAAAACCTTACTAGGAAAACGCCAACCAGATCAAACAAATTAAACTCTGGCCTCCGAGTTGAAAAAAGAATTATGACGCCTTAGGATGAAAGCCGAGATCTTCCGGAAATCACGAGGCCGATGCCCCTTCTAACAACCAGAACGTCTTTTTTAGGTACATGGAACGTCCAGACAATGTGGGAGACTGAGAGGACCAGCCAAATAGCAGCGGAAATGAGGAGATACAAATTGGCAGTACTTGCAATCAGCAAAACCCATTGGACTCAAGCTGGACAACAAAGGCTAGATATGGGAGAGATGCTGCTGTACTCCAGTCACGAAGAGGAAAACGCTCTACACACTTAGGGAATTGCTCTGATGCTGTCCAAAGAAGCATGAAATGCACTTATTGGGTGGGAATCTCACGGATCCAAAATCATAAAAGCATCATTCAAAACAAAGACGGAGGGAATTACAATAAATGTTATCCAATGTTATGCACCCCCCAATGATAGTAACGACGACAATAAAGACCAGTTCTACTCGAGGATGCAGTCAATCATAGAGAAGTGCCCAAGAAAGGATCTCACCATCCTGATGGGAGATATGAACGCCAAAGTCGGGATTGACAACACCGAATATAAAGGTACCATGGAACGACATGGACTAGAAGAAAGGAAGGATAATAGTGAGAGATTCGCAAACCTGTGTGCATTCAACAAATTGATTATAGGCGGCACAATATTCCCACATAAACGCATACACAAAGCTACATGGGTTCCACTGGATGACACCACGGAGAACCAGATAGATTATATTCAAATCACTAAGAAACTCGGAAGATCCACGGAAGATGTGTGAACCACGAGAGGAGCTGACATAACTTCAGATCACCACTTGATAGTTGCTAAGATGAAACTGAAGCTAAAGAAACACTGGACAACTCGGACAACAGCAGTACACATGTTTAATAGAGCCTTCCTTCGACATACTGACAAACACAACGAATTCAAGATAACTCCCAACAATAGGTTACAAGCATTACGGGGTCTACTGAAAGAATGAACTACCATGAAGAACAATTGGAAAGGGATCAAAGAAGCATTAACTTCAACGGGCCGCAACAAGTATCATCATAAGCAATGAATCTCTATCGAAACCCTGGACAAGATTCAAGAAAGGAAGAACAAGAAGACAGTAATTAACAACAGACGAACAACAGCAGAAAAACTAAAGGTACGCGCCGAATACACAGGAGCAAACAAACAAGTGAAGAGGAGCGTTAGAGCTGACGAGCAGAAATAAGTGGAAAACCTGGAAACGACAGTGGAAAAAAGTGAAAGAGACAGCTAAATGATACAATGAAGAAACTAGCAGGGAAATATCGTAAACTAGAGAGACCGCCCAAGGACAAAGAAAGCAAATCAATCACCGAGATTCAAGAACAGAGGAACAGATGCGTAGAATAATTCGAGAAACTCTTGAATAGACCAGCTCCATTTAATCCACCGGACATCGAAGCAGCACACACAAACTTTCCTATAGATATCACTCCACCAACGGCCGAAGAAATCAGGATGGCCATGAGACAAATAAAGAGAGGGAAAGCAAGAGAACCTGACAACATATAAGCTGAAGGAATGAAGTCAGACATTGAAGTAATTGCAAACCAGCTCCATGTTCTATTCAGGAAGGCTTGGGAGGAAGAACAAGTGCCAACAGACTGGAAAGAAGGACAATTCATCAAGATACTAAAGAAAGGAGATCAGAGCAAATATGAGAACTACTGAGGAATCACACTACTGTCAGTACCAGGAAACGTTTTCAACATAGTGTTGCTGAACCGGACGACTCGGTAGACGTCCAACTTTGAGATCAAAAGTGCTCAGTCCTTAGGATAGATCGTGCACAGACAATACGGATCACAGTTGAACAATTAGTTGAGTGGAACTTGTTATTATACATTAACTTCATTGACTATGAGGAGTTTGACAGTGTGGATAGGAAGACCTTACGTATACTTCTTCGACACTATGGTGCACCTAAGATCGTCAACATCATCCAGAATTTATACGACGGACTAAACTGCAAAGTCGTGCATGAAGGACAGCTGACAGATGCACTCAAAGTGAGAACCGGTTTCAGACAAGGTTGCTTACTCTCCCCTTCCACCTTCTTCTAGTGGTCGGCTGGATTATGAAGACCACATCTGATGTAAGGCACGGAATACAATGTACAGCTCGGAATCAATTAAACGATTTGGATTTCGCAGATAACCTGACCCTTCTATCCCATACACACGAACCAATGCAGATGAAGACAACTAGTGTTGCGGCAGCCTCTGCATCGATAGGCCTCAACATACACAAAGGAAAAAGCAAGATCCTCAAATACAACACGAAGAACAACACAATCACACTTGATGGAGAAGCTCAAGAAAAATCGGAATCTTTCATATACCCAAGGAGCAGAATCAATGATGAGCAAGGAGGATCGGATGCAGACGTAAAGGCGAGGATTGGCAAAGCAATAACAGCATTCCTGCAATTGAAGAACATATGGAACTCAAAGCAACTGTCAATCAATATCAAAGTGAGAATCTTCAATACCAACGTCAAGACAGTCTTACTGTACGGAGCTGAGACGTGGAGAACTACTACAACTATCGTCAAGGAAATACAAGTATTTATGAACAATTGTCTACGCACGATACTCAATGTCAGTTGACCGGATACCATCAGCAACAGCCTACTATGGGAGAGGACAACTCAGCCTCCGGCTGAACAGGAGATTAGGGAAAGATGCTGGGAGTGTATAGGGCATACATTGAGGAAATCCCCAAACTGCATCACGAGGCAAGCCCCAACTTGGAATCCTGAAGGGAAACGGGAAAGAGGAAGGCCGAAGAACACACTACGTTATCAATCGGAAGCAGACATGAAAAGGATGAATAGCAACTGAAAAGGATTACCCAGAACAGGGTTGGATGGACAGTGCTGGTGGGTGGCTTACGCTCCTTCACGAGGGGTAAAAGATGTAAGTAAGTAGGTACGAACGAATGTAGAAAACAAAGTTGATAAATGAGTGAGAAAGTAACAATTGTTAAAATAATCTTGTATGAAATTCTAAAAAATAATAAGACCGGAATTTATATCAGCTGAAAGTAGAGGAAAGAGAAAGAAATATACTATAATTCAGTTAATATATTCGCAGTTCACAAAGCGATTCAGAATTAACGAAAGGAAAAAACGAGAAAAACCTTTTATTGTTTTCTAAACTTACCTGTTGCTTGTACCTATTTTACCCATACCAAGGCGTTCAGCTTGTTTGGCACGTTGAGGGTCTGTAGACTTCAAGTTGGCAGTGTCTTGCCTTTCACATTCATCGGTAATATCTTTATACGCTAACCGAAGCGACGCACTAAAAAATAAAAATTTAATATGCAATGCAGTTTAATTTATGCCATTCACTATGTTATACGTATTTTATCAGCTTATGAGTTGATAATTATTAAAATATAGTATTTATGAAATAATCTTTTAGTCAGTTAATCTTTTTTAAATATATATAGCTAGATATTTTATTAAGCAACACTTACAGTCGTTCTTCATTACGTTTCTCATTATCTTCTAAGTCCTGGTTAGTTGAGAGAATCTGACCCTTCATTTCAACATCAGCATGTTCGGCAGCCGAAACGATGGCAGAAAAATCAGCTTTCACCTTTGATGCCCCTAATCCGCCTTTTTTAGCACTAGACTGAACGAAAGATTTGGATTTACAGAGGAAGAGGGATATGATCCGTTCAGAAACGTATGAAATATAAAGAAATACGACTGGAAAGATTTATGTGAAAGATATAAATTTCATTATTAAAATGTCTCTACACAATTTTACCACATAAAGCATTGGTGTTAAACGATATATCTTCATGTTCTGTATTGCAACTACAGTAACGTGCTTTAGAATATGCACTACCAAATCACAAAGTTTACTAACGAAATATACATATAAGATACATCTAGAGCCGACACAAAACCCGAGTAAGTAAAAATTGTGTGTAGGGTTGACAAACCCAGGTCAAAAAAAGAGTCTCGTCAAAGAAAAACACTTGCCATAAACATCATTTAAACTCTGCCCTGGGAGTTGGAGGCTTTTCAAATAGAAAAGTTATGACCCCTCATGGTGAAAGCCGAAAGTCTACGGAATCCGCGACACCAATGCCCCTTTTGAAACCTGGGGCAACGGTAAACATAGGAACATGGGGTGTTCTAACAAAATGGAGGACCGTGAGAGTTCTTCAAATAGCTGTAGATGCTAAGAGACTCAGTAGCAAATTATTAGTCATACAAGATCTATCAGAAAAAGCGAAAATAGCTAAGGAGGAAAACCGGAAAGGGACTAAAGAAGCAACAAACTCGACATTTTAGGGGGTGCTGGCCCCCAACGTAAATGAAAAATCCCCTTAAACAGACAGAAAAAAGTTCCAAGAAAGGGGAAATGGTAAGGCACTGGTCAATAACAGGCGAACAAAAACGGTGAAAACCAAGGTACAAAATGAAAATAAAGAGGCAAACAAACAAACGAAGAAAGGAACTAGGGCTGACGAGCGGAAATATATAGACCTGAGAAATACAGTGAGGAAAGATGCAACAGAATTAAACATGAGAGAACTATGTGATACAATCAAGAAGTTTGCAGGAAGATATAGTCCAAAGCGATCAGTCAGGAACAAAGAAAAAAAACAATCACCGAGAATAGTGGGACCGGTGGGAAGAGCACTTTGAAGATCCTTTAAGTAGACCCACGCCGCCAAAATTAACGGGCTTGGAAGAAGTACACGCAGACCTTCATATGGATGACACCCCGCTAACAATAGCAAAGTCATCGGACAAACAAGAATTGGCAAAGCAGCAGGACCAAATAACATACCGATTGAAGCACTAAGGTTAGATGACGGAGCAACTGCAACTGTGTTCTGTTCTCTTGAAACGGATTTATGGGGAAGAACAAATAATAGAAGATTGAAAAGAGGTATCCCTCGTCAAGATAACAAAGAAAGATCTTAGTGTATGCTACTTAAGTTCACAGATATAAGTAGTATCTAAGATCGGTCGGAGGTGAAATGTCTGGGAGCAGAAGGTTGAGAAGATCGAAATGAAGAGAAGAGATAAGGATCGATGAGGCTTGTAAGAGACAATTCAAGGATGTGCAAATAATGCACTTGATATATGACTATCACATTCTAATGAACGATTGTGTGATTGTTCATTAAACAATAAATTAGTAGTTCACAACATTACTAGGTGTGAGAATTACAAAAAGATTATGCACACTACTCTCAGTATTAGGCCACGTTTTGGCAGAGTGCTGCAGAACAGAATGTAAGATTCAGAAGACACCCAACTTTGAGATCAAAGAGCTGGCTTCGGCAAGAGTAGATCATGTACCGACCAAATTGCGACAATGCGAACCACTGTTGAACAATCAATTGAATGGAACATCACGCAGAAATCTTGTGAGGGACTGCATTAAAAGGTTGCATATGGATGCATCCTGGATCAGGACTGGTGTCAGACAAAGTTGCTCACTCTAGCCTTTTCTCTCTTTACCGGGTGTTGATTGGATTATGAAGACCTCCGAAGCTCAGGAAAAGCATGGAATACAGTGGACATCCTGGACACAAGTGGGTGATTCAAAGTTAGCAGATGACTTAGCCGTTCTGTTTCTTACACAGGAACGAATTCAGATAAAGACAGTCAGTGTAGGAGTGGCTTCTGAAGCAGTAAGCGTCAACATATACGAGGGAAGAGCAAGATCCTGAAATGCAACACAACGAACAGCAACCAAATCACACATGACGGGGAAGCTTTCATGTACCTAGATAGCATCATTAATGAATAAGGAGGGTCTAATGGAAGCGTCAAGGCAATAATTTGTTAGGCAAGGGCAACATTCTTATAATTGGAGAATATCTGGGACTCAAAACAACTATCACACAAGGAGAAAGTCAAAACTTACAATACCAACGTTGAAACAGTTCAATTTTACGGTGCTAAAACTTGGAGAAGTATCACCACAGTCATCAAAAAAGTCCATATATTCATAAAAAGCTACACACACAAGATAATCCAGATCCATTAGCCAGAGGAAGAATTTAGGAAAAGACGCTGGGGTTGGATAAGACGTACTTTGCGCGAACCATCAAATTGCATCAGAAGACAAGCCTCAACTAGAAATCTTCAAAGTGACAGTAAAAGAGACAGACAAATAACAAAAGGCGCCGGGAATCGGGGGGATACAAAATGACCATGAATACCATTAGGCAACAAAAAGAAAAAAGCTCAGGACAGAGTTGGTTGACAGCCTGTACCCCAAGAGGAATGGCAGACTTCATTTAGTATGGACGTATGAACATAGGTTATTCTAGCTCTTTTGTTTATTTATATTTAACTGCCTTATTGGATCGTTTATTAGCCTTAGTAAGTTATCCCAAATAATTCGGAATGTCACCCTATGTCCGATGGATATGTTTCGTAAGAATTGTTGCGACTATAAGTTACTAAATCATTATTATGATCGTAGTTGCATATGTTACTACATATTCCCTCACGCAACGTTTTCTCAGTTTGTTTAGTTTTTTTAAAACACCAACTAATTAGGACAGGACTTTGAAGCTTTCAAGTATTACTTTTACTTGATCTTTGTATAACTATAAATGATCAACATGTGATAATCAGAAAACTTTTATTTGAACACAACAATACAAGGTTGTCGTTATTTAGACGAGATGAGTTCATACATTTTTAAGATACACAAGACTATTAAGCAGATTATGAACTATGAAGCGGTGAACTACTATTTTCATATGATTAGAATCGATCACACTTTCTCTGAGCGTAACAATTAGCAAACACCTTACATATGGACTTCATTGTATTCTGAAACTGTTGATAAAGCGAGAACTAGCCCCAAGAAAGCTAAAATGAATAAACAATGATAATAATTTTAACAGGCTATTCGTCGAAAATGTTTGACTAGCAATATGTTTACAAGCAACAGAGATACGTAAGAAAATCCATATAGTTTATGTTTATAATAGGTCTTCAGTAACCCATTTAAGTGAACAACGGTTGGTAGATGATTGACAGAAATGATTTTTCTAAAGTATTAACTTTACTTGTAACTGTAAAGCTTTGAACTACAACGAAAAGAAGGCTAATCAAGTGCAGATCTTGGGGGCTTTAATACGAGTTTTTGAAAACTCAATGTTTAACCACTATTCCATATCAGGGAAATATTTAAAAATTGTGGGTGATGCACCCAATGTTATGAGTTAGGATTTAATGAGCAATTTGAAGGATTTCTAAAATGAATGGATTGAACGGAAGTGGAACAACAGGAAAGGACGAACGGTAAAACGATTAAGGTTCAACCTACAAAAGTCCAGATACGACTAGTTTCAAGCAGGAGGGTGTTGGATAATCCATTATTTTTAAGTGGGTTTTGTGGAAATCTGTTTAGTCTGAAGGTATTCATCGTTACAGGTTGACCTCAGTTGAAGCACTATTAGGACTCCTTTTGTTCAGGTAAAAAATACCATCAGTGTCCATTTCGGATCCCACCTGGAGTCAGGTACAGAATCTTATGGTTTTGCGGTACCCCAATTGAGGTCAATCTGTGACGAGTACCATTCTGAATTAAACCGATAACGGAGCACATAGTTAATAATAAGTCGAAATTATTAGAACAAAATAATTTTGTAAACAAGTGAATTGGAGGTAAATTTAAGTGAATTAAAGTACTGTCTTTTGAGTGCACTTTGAAAGAGTAATACCTAAGCACGGATCTAATAAATGTTAAAGGACCAACTTGAAAGAATCAAAGTTACTGTTTTGGAGTAATATAGATATGACTGCAAAATGTTATACAGCCAGTATGATGAAATGAAACTTATGAAATGACAATTTAAGAATTAATGTATAAACATTTGTTATATTGCGAACATAAATAAATGCTGAAGAAATTTTGGCTCTTGTGAACTGTGGAGAGAGAAAATTCGGTAGGTAAATAGTGAGACTGAATTCTTGATAATACATTATTTAGTTTTGACTGGTAGTAGAATTCAATACATTTTGTCTTTATTTCCGTCCATTTATTGATTCATACACCAAACACCTTGATAATCAAGGCGTACAATCAAAAAGGCTAGTGTTACTTGATGAAACAAAATGGATGACAATAACCTGCTGGTGAAACTCGTGAGAACAAGAGGACGGCAGATGTACTTTTGTTACAGATCAATTTTTAATTTCATTTAATAAGCAGCTGAAAGATTCAGGTGTGTAGTTGGTGAATAAACTGATTGCTATCATATACACTTTTGTTTTAAAATACAATTTTTACTAGTCTGTATTTACAATCAGATAAGTTATTCATAGTCATGTATTATGATGAAATTACCCGTGTAGTATTCGGTTTTCTAGTTCCAATTACAGAAGGTATTTTTGTGGGACCAGGTTCGGATACAGGAGAATTGAATAGATTATCAACAGTAGGCCCAACTGACTGTTCCAGTGTCATTTCTATTAAATATGAAAATTGTATTAAGCTGTTTCGTTTGAACATGATTTTAAGGTTTAAAAACTGGCTATAGCCAGTTGTAGTGAATTTATTTAAAAACAATAGTTTATTCGTTTGACAACTATACAACAGTAGTCTAAAAGAGAATTAGAATTGGTGAACAGGCTTTCAACACAGGAAACAAGGATCACCAAACCATATTGTAAAGGTGACTAAATTTCAGATAAATTAAACCTGTTTATAACTTCTGAGAAATTAGTATATCTCGTTATTCTGTTTTCGATTGCACGAGCCGAAACTCATGTATAAAAAACACAGAAGTCTGCACTTTTCAGGTCATTTTACCGTAATTCTGTAGAACTATTCAACAGATTGAAATAAATTAGAATAATACTCATGTTTCCAATTCATCCGCATAGTATATAAGAATGCTTCTATACATTACTTTGATCAAACAGTGCAATAATAGGGAATAATACATTTTACTGTATCATTATCAGTACAGGAGCCGAATTAAGCCTAGGGACCGTGAAAACGAAACGCGTGGTGCTGTTTAAAGTACATCACTCTACGAAGAAAAGTAATGGATATGAAAGTCTGGGATCTCCACAGCAAACAATTATTAGATCTGCTGGGTGTCAGGGTGGATGGCAAAGATTAGTAAAACCAACGAATAGTTATCAGAACAGTATCGAATGACACATAAGATTGATTAAATGGTATTATCTTCACCGAAAACCAAAACCTGTCTTTTGAGGATTCCATTAGCCCAGCAAGCCAGGTATTATTAAAGTGCAAGTAATTGTACTTATTGTAAATAGATAAGTTAATTTCACTAATTTGTATGAAATAGGACTCACAGATCTTAGTAAACGATATCACTAGGTCATACTTTCTCTGAATTTAATATATATAGGAACATCAACAAGATAATCAAGTAGACAAAAAATGAAGGTTTATAAAAACAATCGTTAAAAATTAAAGTAAATCTTGTCAGGGATGAACTTATTCAGCGCTTCACCATTAAGAACGGAGTTGATAAATACACCTTAAAAATAATCATATAGTTTGGAACAGCTAAATATTTGTTGTTAAACGTTTTTTAGGATGTCAATATCTCCATAACCAGCACTCATATTAACGTTGACTACTGGTTTAGGCGTCCTAAAAAGCGTCTATATAAATAGTTACAAGTGTCCAACAGAAGTAAATATAGTAAAAATCGTCGTCACGGTTGTTCCAGTAAAATGAAGTCAACTATAAGGATCGTTCAAAAGTTGTAGAATAGTATTCTTTATCCAATGGAGTAAAATGTTGGTTAAGGGTTGAAGAATACGGAAATTATCATACACTGTTACCTTGACGAGCTTTTCCAAAGCGACAAAACAAGATTTATAGAAAAAGAAACGAGTTTATTATATTCCAGAGCTTTTCTTCAACTACAATCAGCGGTCGTCATTCAGCAGAATAAATATGAGAAGTCGATGATTCCTGATGAGCAGAAAAGAATCAAAAGAAAATATCGACACCCCTAAAAACATTTTATATTGCTGAGATATTGAATACCTTCAATATAATAGGAAGTTTGTCGTGTCTACAAACATGGGCTCTTAATTCACAAAAACACCTCGATTAGAACACGTGCTAAATATCAGAACTTCACTTTCATAGCATTCGAATTATAAACCAAACATAGGTGGTTAATGATAAGAGAATAAAGTTAGATGTTCAGCTAGTGCAACAAAATATTGTGCAACTATTTTCAAACGGCAAATCATTAAACTCTGAAGTCATACTTTTATTACTGTACGACAATCGACGATAATCCAGCTTTTTCCCTTCCAAAAGAGGAGACAGTTTTTTTAGTACAGATAGTCGAGGAGTGTTTGTGGAGTCTAAATATCATGAGATCAATTTTTAGTTTCCCTATGAGACGTTCGAATTCTTTACCAACTTTCCTGCACCACCTTCAAATATAGAGTTGACAATTTAAATCTAAAAAATAAGTTGGAAGTAGTACTGAGTTCGAGATTTAAAAAACCATGAGGAACTGTCCCAATCGCACCACTCTAAAAAAGTTTGTCTCATGTCATACAATCCCTTAAACAATTGATTTTAGGTATTACGTGCGGCCCTACACGGAAGTCTGCATCCCTCAACATGGTTCAGACTAACAATTACTTCAGAGATATGTCCACGTCTTACAAGCGTGGATGAACTGGGAGACGTGATACGTCGCGGAATGCAACTCCCAACTCAGCTACCGGCCGGTAGGCTGATAACCCTCAACAACAGGAATGCTATATTGATTTCAAACTCCATTGTGCTAAGTTTAGTAGGTTGCGATCAATTCAAAATAAAGGAGAGTAATATATCAAAAACACTGATTCAACTGATGGAGACAGTAGTCGGATTCTGAAATAAATGATCGCATTTGACTGATTCTGATTGCTTGTTGTCCAGGCTTACGTTTATGCAGTCATTAAATCCTGAACAAGAAAGTTTTGAAGACCTCAGGGTATATTATAATGTAACCAAGTAAAGTTTGAGAATACAAAGCCCAAGATGGCAGGTGTATGATCCGGATCTACAGAATAAAAATTACCATGGTTGGCTTAACGCTTGTTGGCACAATATAACATTCTGGATGTGCAGCTGACTAGCTATAGAACAGCAAAGTGAAGAAACCTCGTGATGACTAGAACATAACGAGGCATCAATACACAGAGTCACCAACTGTTGGACCGAGCTGTGTAGGCTACCTAGTTGAAGGCGCTGAGATTATCATGGCTAATGGCATTGGGTAAGATAGTTAAGAATCGGCTACAGTGGAGAGGATACATTCATTCTTCCTTAAGATCTTGATTTTGAAATCGCCCAAAGCTTTTTTATCCTAAGAAATAATCCTCCTTCCCGAAATCATATTTTCTATGTCTACTCTTTTCTACTACTCCTTCTATAAGATTTTTCTTTATGATTTTGTCTCTCTGACTGATTACAAATGTTTGCGGATAATGAGCTCCCAAGATAAACATAGTAGCTAGAAACTTTAACAAACATAAATGATAGCACCCTGCAGAAGAACAGATGGATGTAGTCTATACTTACATATGTTCGAAACATTTTATGTATCTAACATTATGTGTTCTTTAATTTGTTTATTTTTTGACTATGGTTAGGAATACCTTTCATCCTGAAATTAGTCCCCATTTTGCGCTATTATTGGTATGGGACACTCAAGAGCTATTCCACATTACAACAGCTTCAGTTCTCCATTTCGTTATTTTTATAAGTCTGTAATCATCTTAGTACATGAATAAACATGCTAGTGTAACTAGACCAGCTTTGTACCATATGTAAAACTGAGCCTACACTCAAGAAAACGGCTATTAGAGTGCCAACCCAGTTTTACAAATTAACGTGATTTTATGTTTAACTAATTTAGGAATTTTGATGAACAATTACTTATTTTTGAAAAAAAAACATTGTGGGAATACTTACAATTTTGGTTTTAACGACGTTTTTGTGCTAACACAAGGCAAGTTAGTCTTTTCGTAATTGATGAGATATGTGCGTGGAGTAAAGAATCTGGTTAGTGTTTAACATATATTACAAAGGATGAGTTGAACTATGAAAAATCCCAAACTAATGAACTCAATACTCCCGTCTTCTATATGTTTATGTACTGATGCTTAAAAGGTGCTAGTGACATTGAAACGCATCGTCGTAACCTTTTGATATTCTTCGTTTGAGAAACTTTATTAACTCATTTTCAATAAGCAAAAGGTTGAAATATAATCTGAAACTGTCAGATTTGTTTTTTATTCATTTATTTGAACGCATAAATATTGGTACAAGGGGGCATCAGATATATATGTGCCACGCAAAAAATTGTCATTTCATTTACTTGTGTGACCTAAAGGTCTAATCCACAAGGCAGTGGAGCATCGTAAGGAGATGCAGTCCCATGGTAGCCGGTGACCGGACTGTTTCATACGCCATTTGTTCCCTTAGGATGCAGGAGCCTGTGTGCACCATTGGTTTAGAATCAGGGTTCGCCAACTCCCTTAGGTAGACTCTCCGTGTCCACCAACCCGGTTAAAGCTCCGGACATTTGCTTTTCGTCCTCTCAATTTCGTAAACAACAGTAATGCCACGAGAAGGCAGTGAGTAGGACTTCCCTGGAGGAGGCTGTACACGCGTGACTGTGGGAGTATTTCGAGGGAGAGGACGTGCCCTCCCTACTCTCGGCAGTACCAGGGCATTCGGGGGTTAAATTTAGGATAAGCAAATGAGATTCCGAGTCGCCAATGAAGATATGAGACTCTATAAATTTCTGATATAAAGTGAAGTACCAACATTAGTGATAAATAATCCATATTTTCGTTACCTATCAGTACAGTTATGCAATTTACAAAAACATACACAACTCACTTGTTATTAATGTCACAGGTCCTTCCTTTCTGATGTCAGTTGTACCGCTTTCAGTATGCTCCTCAAAAAAGTCAGTCACCTGCCCACGTTTAGATTTCCCTTCATCGAGTTCCAGGACCAACTGTGGAAACTAAGACAGGTAGTGACTAGTTACCTTGTTACCATGAGTTTTAACAGCGTCAATAGCAAGCTTTTCCAGCTTAGAACGGTACAACTGGGAAGCACGACTTTGGTATTTTTCCTGCGCATCCAAGGAACGACAATTATTTTGAGAGAAGAACGTAAGCTACAAAATAATAGTAGGAGATCTATGTTTACCGCATTTTGGTTGCCACCAACTTGCATTGCGCGTAACTGAACCCAAGTCCAGTTAGTATCTAGCTGCGTCGATCGAATGAAACTCAGATGGACTCCAAGTGAACGGTGGACTGCTGAACAGTCAATACAAAGAAAAACACCGTAGGTAACACTGGCCCATGTTGGATTTGTGGCACCACAGTCGAAGCATTGCTGGACATAATACCATAAATTAGTAACTGAAAGTACCTTGTTGCACGGCAAAGACTTCAGTTTGTTCAAAATTGTAACTATTTCGTGTTTCGTTGGTGGTACAGAAACCATTTTGTCCCACAACAGAACGAAACAGTATACGTGGACTAATGTGACGCGCACTTGAAATAACGCGCCGTCTCCACTATCTAATATCAGTTCGTCAACCTAGTATGAAACTATTAACTTATTCGCAACAGCATCCTAATACAAATAAGCAGTTTTAGATCATTATGAGCACTTATTGAGTGTAGCTTGAACATCTGACTACAATAGTTTTTTTTGATGTCAAGTTTTTAATTCTTTTCTCGAATTTGGCAGAAAGATTTTGTGTACACTTACTCTGCTAATTGTCCTAAGCAAACCTTAATTTAGCAAACCGACTTTTTTCCTTCCAACCGAGGATGAAATGGAACGCGACGACTGGGTTAGGAGTAATATACTTTATGTTCAATGCACGAGGCGTTGAAAGTCAGTCACGATGACTGTGCAACACGTTTTCCCTTACATGGTGAAGGTGCTCAGTTATGCATCCGCAACAAATCACTGTTTGGAATGGCGTGCTCAACGTCTCCTGCGATTACTAGCCAGATAAGATCAGTCACTTTTCCATATATTGATAACCCATCAAATATATTTTTCAACCTCCTCACTCCTGACTTTTGATTTCATCAGGTAGGCGCGATTCAATTACAGAATGTGCTACTGGTAAAGTGTTGTCAAACTACAATACCTATGATATCTTCAGTGAAGTAGAATAGACGCATACGAAATTATGAAAGAATGAATTACATGGAAATCCTAAAAAGACAAGCTACCAATTAAGAAAGATTATGCTAGTGCATTATCCGCACCATGTGGAAAACGCTTTTAAAGAACACAGAGCAGTCTACGACTGGTTAAAGTTGTTATATCGGAAGGCAAGGAACAATGCGAAAAATGACCCACAGCATACGTTTTATTATTCTCGAATTATTGCTCACTAATGATACTGACAAAGAAAAGTGGCTTTACAGTCGTTCAAAACATTACTAGGTGTGAGAATTACAAAAAGATTATGCACACTACTCTCAGTATTAGGCCACGTTTTGGCAGAGTGCTGCAGAACAGAATGTAAGATTCAGAAGACACCCAACTTTGAGATCAAAGAGCTGGCTTCGGCAAGAGTAGATCATGTACCGACCAAATTGCGACAATGCGAACCACTGTTGAACAATCAATTGAATGGAACATCACGCAGAAATCTTGTGAGGGACTGCATTAAAAGGTTGCATATGGATGCATCCTGGATCAGGACTGGTGTCAGACAAAGTTGCTCACTCTAGCCTTTTCTCTCTTTACCGGGTGTTGATTGGATTATGAAGACCTCCGAAGCTCAGGAAAAGCATGGAATACAGTGGACATCCTGGACACAAGTGGGTGATTCAAAGTTAGCAGATGACTTAGCCGTTCTGTTTCTTACACAGGAACGAATTCAGATAAAGACAGTCAGTGTAGGAGTGGCTTCTGAAGCAGTAAGCGTCAACATATACGAGGGAAGAGCAAGATCCTGAAATGCAACACAACGAACAGCAACCAAATCACACATGACGGGGAAGCTTTCATGTACCTAGATAGCATCATTAATGAATAAGGAGGGTCTAATGGAAGCGTCAAGGCAATAATTTGTTAGGCAAGGGCAACATTCTTATAATTGGAGAATATCTGGGACTCAAAACAACTATCACACAAGGAGAAAGTCAAAACTTACAATACCAACGTTGAAACAGTTCAATTTTACGGTGCTAAAACTTGGAGAAGTATCACCACAGTCATCAAAAAAGTCCATATATTCATAAAAAGCTACACACACAAGATAATCCAGATCCATTAGCCAGAGGAAGAATTTAGGAAAAGACGCTGGGGTTGGATAAGACGTACTTTGCGCGAACCATCAAATTGCATCAGAAGACAAGCCTCAACTAGAAATCTTCAAAGTGACAGTAAAAGAGACAGACAAATAACAAAAGGCGCCGGGAATCGGGGGGATACAAAATGACCATGAATACCATTAGGCAACAAAAAGAAAAAAGCTCAGGACAGAGTTGGTTGACAGCCTGTACCCCAAGAGGAATGGCAGACTTCATTTAGTATGGACGTATGAACATAGGTTATTCTAGCTCTTTTGTTTATTTATATTTAACTGCCTTATTGGACCGTTTATTAGCCTTAGTAAGTTATCCCAAATAATTCGGAATGTCACCCTATGTCCGATGGATATGTTTCGTAAGAATTGTTGCGACTATAAGTTACTAAATCATTATTATGATCGTAGTTGCATATGTTACTACATATTCCCTCACGCAACGTTTTCTCAGTTTGTTTAGTTTTTTTAAAACACCAACTAATTAGGACAGGACTTTGAAGCTTTCAAGTATTACTTTTACTTGATCTTTGTATAACTATAAATGATCAACATGTGATAATCAGAAAACTTTTATTTGAACACAACAATACAAGGTTGTCGTTATTTAGACGAGATGAGTTCATACATTTTTAAGATACACAAGACTATTAAGCAGATTATGAACTATGAAGCGGTGAACTACTATTTTCATATGATTAGAATCGATCACACTTTCTCTGAGCGTAACAATTAGCAAACACCTTACATATGGACTTCATTGTATTCTGAAACTGTTGATAAAGCGAGAACTAGCCCCAAGAAAGCTAAAATGAATAAACAATGATAATAATTTTAACAGGCTATTCGTCGAAAATGTTTGACTAGCAATATGTTTACAAGCAACAGAGATACGTAAGAAAATCCATATAGTTTATGTTTATAATAGGTCTTCAGTAACCCATTTAAGTGAACAACGGTTGGTAGATGATTGACAGAAATGATTTTTCTAAAGTATTAACTTTACTTGTAACTGTAAAGCTTTGAACTACAACGAAAAGAAGGCTAATCAAGTGCAGATCTTGGGGGCTTTAATACGAGTTTTTGAAAACTCAATGTTTAACCACTATTCCATATCAGGGAAATATTTAAAAATTGTGGGTGATGCACCCAATGTTATGAGTTAGGATTTAATGAGCAATTTGAAGGATTTCTAAAATGAATGGATTGAACGGAAGTGGAACAACAGGAAAGGACGAACGGTAAAACGATTAAGGTTCAACCTACAAAAGTCCAGATACGACTAGTTTCAAGCAGGAGGGTGTTGGATAATCCATTATTTTTAAGTGGGTTTTGTGGAAATCTGTTTAGTCTGAAGGTATTCATCGTTACAGGTTGACCTCAGTTGAAGCACTATTAGGACTCCTTTTGTTCAGGTAAAAAATACCATCAGTGTCCATTTCGGATCCCACCTGGAGTCAGATACAGAATCTTGTTGTGATCTCGCTCGTTCTGATACTGAAAAGGACGAGTGGCAAGTTTTTGTAATAATTGTCATTTTTGTGCGCTCGAAGTGCACTTTCAAGTTGGCGATGAAATTGTTCAACCAAAGCATTTGATGCTGGGTGGTAGGCTGTAGTGCGTTCCGTACCAAGCAGCCGGGTTACAGAAGGGAATAATTCGGACTCTAATTGTTGTCCTGGGTCAGTCGTGACAATCGAGGGACAACCATACGGCGCTATCCATCATTCTACGAAGCGGTGAGCAACTGTCTCCGTCCTAATAGAGGTGATGGGAATAGCTTCCGGCCATCTTTTGAAACGATCAATGCACGTGAGTATGTGATCATACCCGTGCGATGGTGGCAATGGTCCTACAATATCTGTATGAACGTGATCGAAGCGAGCATCAGGCGTAGCGAAAGTGCAGATACGGGCGGCTACGTGCCTGCACACTCTTGGTCGCACATACAGACATCTTTATTTACGGACGGCTAGCCGTATCGTGCAGCGATGAGGTGTAGTGTGGTTGCGGTACCTGAATGAGATAAACCATGAAGGGCATCAAAGATGAGACAGTGGTTAGCAGAGGGTACGATGGGTCGGGGGAAACTCTTAGAAGTATTGTTTGGGATAGTACCTGAGCAATTAGCTAGGGGCACTCCCTGGCACGGAAAGGACGTAGAATGTTGAGCTTTTGTGCTTGCTTGGGCGAAGGCCATAGCAGGGAGGTCAAGCACCGGCAAAGTAACTGCACTCACCTGGGTACGTGACAGAGCACCGGCAACATAGTTCGACTCGCCTTTGACGTGACGAAGGTCTGTCTTGAAGTGAGAGACATAGTCCAAATGTCTGCACCCTCGTGGTGAGTAGTGGTCGGACTTGGTATGCAGAGCATGCGTTTAGGGCTTATGGTCGGTGAATAGGATGAAATTGCGACCTCCTACTGAGTGCCGGAAATGTTTGATGGAACAGTAGGCTGCCAGGAGTTCTCGACCAAAAGTGCTATATCTCGTCTCCGTGGGAGTGAGACGTCGGTAGAAAAATTCGGGAGGTTGCCAAGTCCCGGAGGTGTTCTGTTGCATAACGGCTACTATGGCGAAATTCGATGCATCAACCGCTATATTAAGCGTGGCTGATGGTTCAGGATGAGCGATAAGTGTTGTTTGAGCTAGGGCCGTTTTGGTCTCTGAAAATGCATTACGCGCGGCATCTTTCAGTTCTAATTTGCGTGGATTACCGCGAAGTAAGTCGGTTAATGGTGGTAACCGTTCTGCTGCGTGTGGGATGAAGCGTCGGTAGAAGTTGATCAGACTGAGGAATGCCTTCAGTTCCTTGAGTGTGGACAGTACGGTGTACTCCATTATTGCATGTACTTTGTCCTCACAAGGTAGAATACCCTCTTGCTTAATAATACGACCTAAGGATTTTATTTCCAGTTTTCTAAGTTCACACTTGTCAAGGTTGACTATTACTCCGTTATCCGAAAGGCGTTGGAATAGTAGTGTTAGGTACTGATAATGTTCATCTACGTCTGATGACGCGATTAGCAGATCATCAATACAGATGTGAACAAAGTCTAAGTCTTGTACTATTCTATCGATAAACCTTTGGAAAGTTTGAGCAGCATTCCGTAATCCAAATGGCATTCGTACTAAAACAGAACTAAATGAGTCGTGACAGCATTTTTCTCGATCTCTGGGATCTGGTGATATGCTCGTAGATCGATCTTGGAAAAAATGGTCGTGCCCTTGAGTGATGCCATC